GCTCCCCCCTACTATTGACTCATCTAGTTGGCAAAAAGCTATGAGGCTCTTCAGCTTCTTTACATTAATCCTCAACTCCCTTACCAGGGTTGGGCTGATCAAACAACGGGTGCACCCTGAGTCCACTAAAGCAGAGATTTTTATCCCCCTCTCCCAGTTGGAGATAAACAGTCTTGGGGGGGGTAAGCGGTTTAATTGGTTTGCTTACCAGTGGTTCATCCTCTGGTTCATCTTCCCAAGAGGCCAGGGTATCCTCTTCAAAGAGAGGAGGGGGTGGAGATTCTACAATCTCCCTGCTCCTCAGGGCCATTTTCTTCCCATGTTGGCCCAGTTTTGTAGGTTTCCCCCCCTAATGGGTGCTCTGGTTTCCTAGCTGGTGCTTGAGAATGGCATTCTGCAGCTCGGTGCCCCTCTTTTCCACACTTGAAACAGAATGAGAGTTTCAGAGAAAATGCTGTTTGTGGGTTGAAAGGCTCTTGCTTCCATTGGGATGGGGATTTCTTCCACATTCGCCCCGATCAGTACTGGTTCCTAGCCATGTTGATCTCTGCCTCTTCAGCAGTGAGATACCACTCATGTAGGTGGTTCGGTGTCCCTTGGGCCATGCAGGCATTGTAGAGGTCATCACTCAGCCTGTCTTTGAACCAGCTTACCAGGATATCTTCTGGCCAGTTCACACAACACTCCAAGTCTCGGAATTCTTCGGTATACTCTGCCACTGGCCGCCATCCCTGCTTCACAACTTTAATGTGGTTGTGTGCTTTGCGGTCTGCGAGGGGGTCTTTGAAACATTGTCGCAAGCCCATCATGAAACAGTCAAAGTCCTGCAGTTCTGGTGCATCGACATTGTGTAGTGTCACCATCCATCAGGCGGCGGCTCCTTCCAGGCCTAGGGTAACCACTCTTACTTGGAATCCTTGGGTTTGAAAGTCAGCCCGTATTCTTGCATGTAGGTGAGCACGTGTGCCACAAAGAATCCCAATTTTTTCACGTTCCCATCAAACTTCACCCCAAGGAAAGGGGTTTTCCATTCTAATTGCAGGTTTGGGGGTTGGTTGGGGGTGCCCCCCCAATCCATGTTCCACCTGGGGGGGAGGGTTCGCTGGGTTCCTAGCTGTTGCTGCAGTGTCATCTGCTTGATCAGTAGGACCCAGATGGGGATTAGCTCCCCTGGCCTCATCCACAGTTGCCGTCCTTCCCACACCTCTTGGTTGCCATTCTGGCTCCCCCCGAAAGTTGAGATTTTCCACATGTCCATCACCAACTGGGTTACATGCCTGTTCAGATGATCCTCTCTCAGTGAGGCTTCATTTTGCTCCTCCTGATCAGTGGGGGCTTCTAGCTCCACCTTCCACCCTGGGTTTCAGCTCCCTCGGTAAGAGTGACTCCCCTGGTTCTCCCATCCCAGCTGTCTTTTGTCCCTATGCTGATTGACCAGTGGGCTTTTTTGGGGTCCTCTAGGCTCACCTCATCCTCTCTGACAAGGTATATGGAACAGATCTCTGGTTGGGAAGGGGTTGTCATCTCCCTCCAGCAATCAGCTTCTCCTTTTTTGCTGTTGTGCTCAGACATGGTTTGCAGGGTCTCCCCTGGTTGACCAATTCACAGATGCTGCTTTATGTAATGGCTCCTCTCCTAACTTAAGAAAGTAAAGATTCTTGAAATGGATTATTTCGAAAGGAACTTTTAATTAAGCAGAAGGAAACCATTAGAGGCAAAGCAGCATCTGAAACCCTTTAGGCAATGCCAGTGGGATTAAACTGATAATGACCCTTCCCCTTTGTCAGAATGCAGATTCTGGCCAATACACAAGTGTGAAGATGTTTCCCTAATTCTTCTGCCCTGAGAGTCGAATAAAAGGCACGTTCCCATGGCTATCTCTAGTTAGACATTAAAGTAAGATATCCCACATGGCCATCATAAACATCCCTCCAGAGGTGATGGGATCTCCAGCCTTCCAGCAACAGGAAACCAGTTGTAAATCTCAGTTGTTACAGGTACTGCTAGTGATTTAACTCTGAAGCCCCGCTCCTTCCAATTGAATGATAGTATTACATAAGGGATCTGACAAATTGTTCTTCAGCTTCTGTCCATGGAACAACTACTTCTTCAATATTCCAGTAATCTGGCTCAAAAAAATTGAGAAATTGTAATTTATTCATGTCATGCAATTGGCTTCCTATTTTTAAATGTTCACAATCCATTAGTCCTTTATTCAAATTTGTTATGATGCTTTCTTAGTCTTTCCCAAGGAAGTCCAACAAATCAATGATTTTGTACAAATTTTATATTTTTGAAGGTTTCTGAAGTAATTAATCCATCAACTTTTTTTGTATGGACTCTTTCCCTTTGTAAGCATTTCAAATGTTTTAATTGATCTTATTACAAGATTTTCAGCATTTATGCTATCTGTATTTCTTGCTTGCTGTGCACTTGAAAGAAAAGAAATTTTATTTAGAATATCAATCATCAATGCCAAATCAGCTATAAAATATATATTTTCAAGACAGGCAGCTATACCTGAGTATTTTTCATTTGCATGAAAATACTGATGTAGTGCTGGATAAATATGCCACACAGCTAGGGTTGACCTTAAACTACCGGCAGCCCATCTTTGTCCCAAAACTCTACCATGCTTGGCATATGTGTCATTACGCTATAGAAATGTTGGTCAGAAAGAGCCTGTTTCTTTTTTATCAACCCTCTCTCACCCTCCTTCTACTGTGATCTATCCGTTGTCTGAAAAAGATATTTTGTCTTCTGATCTTAAGTCTAAGGGTGAAATAATACCTTCTGCTTCTTCTGACATTGCATTAAAGCCTTCTCTTCTTCCCCTTCCTTCTTCTATTCCTCCTTTTCCACCTCCTCCTCTTCCCCCTTCTTTTTCTAATATTATTCCAAAGTCTGCTTTTCAAAAGATGGTGGAAAATTGTAAGACAGATGGCACTAATTCTGGAGAAGAGTTAGCTGAAATTTTGTGTGTATGTCCAGTGCAGTATCAACCAGGACCACAGGCTGGACAGCAAATTGCAGAATGGGAAGGTTTGCCATTTCAAATTTTAAGGGAGTTAAAGAAGGCTATTTCTGATTATGGAATCACTGGAAATTTTACTAGATGTCTTTTGGAAGGAATTAAGAATGGCTATGCCATGGTACCTCAAGATTGGAAGCAATTCAGAAAGGAAAAAAAAAGCTTGTAGGGAATTGTTTCAAGTGTGGAAAATCAGGTCATTTTCAGAAAGATTGTCATTCAAGGCCATCTACTGGTGGTGATCGTCCTACAAAAAATGTCCTGTTTGCAAGAAGGGTTTTCATTGGGCTAATCAGTGTAGGTTTCGCTCGGGAAACTGGCAGGTGGGTGTGGCACCCACCCAGAAAACAAAGAGTGCCTTTCCTGTTGTGAATCTCCCTCCTCCCTCTCTTGTTCCTCCTCCCTCTCTGGTGCCTCCTCAGCCACAGCAGGTAGTGCTGGGGTCGATTTAATTACTCAAGTAGATTTGGATTTTAAATTTCCTTTAGAAATAAAACTTGTGTCTTCTCAGTATACTGGTCCTCTCCTTTCTGGTTTAGTTGGTATAATCTTATCACATTCTTCTGCTCATAATTTGGGATGTTTTGTAGTTCCAGGAGTTATTGATTCTGATTACACTGGAGTGATTCTTATGCAAATTTGAGTTAATATTCCACAATTCCAAAGGATCTTCTGTAGTACAACTTCTTTTGCTTCCCTATAAGGTACCTAACCCAGGTACTGGATATCGTGATGATTCTGGATTTGGTTCAACTCTTAATTCTATAGGACTTCTGCAGTCTATTAATTCTCATAGGTCACTTCTTACTTTACATCTTAATAAGCAACCTTTTCAAGGTTTGTTAGATACAGGTGCCGATGTTACTGTCATCTACCTTTTACAGTGGCCTGTGCAATGGCCTAAATGTGATGTTAATTCCTTGTGGGGCATTGGTGGGTCTACAAAACATCCCAATTTATGAGCAGAAGAACGTGGTAAGATTATGCCAACCAAACCAGAAGAAAGAGGACCAGTGTATTGAGAAGCAACCAGTTTCACTTCTAAAGGAAATTTAAAATCCAAATCAGCTTGAGTAATTAAATCGACCCCAGCACTACCTGCTGTGGCTGAGGAAGCCCCAGAGAGGGAGGAGGAACAAGAGAGGGGGGAGGAAAACTCACAACGGGAAAGGCACTCTTTGTTTTCTGGGTGGGTGCCACACCCACCTGGCCGTTTCCTGAACCCAAACGAAATCTACACTGATTTGGATTTT